CAGTGTCGTGGTCATGGATCATCAAACAACCACCACAGTACACAGTCGTGGATATCTCCCGCGAAAACGGCAACGTCGTTATCATATCTCCCGCGAAAACGGCAACGTCGTTATCATATCTCCCGTGATTACGGCAACGTCGTTATCATATTTTCCGCGAATACGGCAACGTCGTTATAATATCTCCCGCGAAAACGGCAACGTCGTTATCATATCTCCCGTGATTACGGCAACGTCGTTATCATATTTTCCGCGAATACGGTAACGTTGTTATCAAATCTCCCACGATCACGTGGTCATTTACCGCGAACGCGATTTACGTGACGCGCCGATGTGAAAACATAACAAACGGCCATTTTTGGCTGATTGTGTTGTGTAGATTATTAAAAACTTAAATTTCCCATTCCAATGAGAAATATACGTTTAATTCCCAGCTTTTCTTCTGTTCATGAAATTCAAGTTCAGTTCTTAGTTTGGTTTGATTGACACCATAGACACGATATGCCATATTATTGTTTTTAAAATAAAAGGTTTTTATTTAATTTTAAATTTCTTTCTCCTTTTGTCACATCGACTCTGATCGGCGACATTTCTTAAGTTTAAAAATAAAACATAATAGCATTGACTTTTAGGTACCGGTATTCTCATCTTTAAAAACGCAAATTCTATTTTAACTTCAATATGTATACTCATATTTCCAATAAAATACACCCAGTTGCAATTAGTTACAATATAAAACAGCTTGATTTGGTTTTAGCGGAAATGCAATTGTATCAGCTAAGCTTTCTTAATTTTTAAGTATAAATGTATATGTATGTAAGTAGAAACTAATGTAAACAAAGTGTTTTTTTGCGTTTCTTTCCAGTTTTATGGCTTGAATCGAACCATCCCACAATCAATATCAATATAAAACCATTAGACTTACATCAATATAGTCGCAATTCGTCTCCTTTTACTATTTCCATTTTACCAAAAACCTTTAAAACCATCGAAGTATATTAACACAAGTATATTGTGTTATATACTTCGGTGTTTAAGTTTAAAACTCAATCTGCCAACTTCACTTACGAACTACTGCAACGAGCCAAAGAGGCGAGTCCATGTTCTATACAATATTAGTTAGTTTCATTTTATAATAATCACTTTAATCACCAGCAACATAACTTTTTCCACTTCCAAACTATTAAAACCAATTTAACAGTTGATTCATGTCAAACTAAAGTACAGTATGTGATACCATTGACAATTGGATACAGGAGATACTGTTGAATGTAATTTTATTTTTATATAATATGTTTGCTGTTACTTGTTCTGTATTTAATTTAATTTATGTTGGTAACAGCTGATCATGTGTAAATAGTTAGGATTGTTTTTATTGTAATGAGAATTGTTGAATAAGTTATGTTTGAGTAAAAAATGTTGTGTGTGTACTTCAGTAAAATAAAAGATAATTATTGTAACAGTAAAACCTTAGGTGTTAGTAATTTACTTTCACTTAAGTCAACAGGTTATGGGCCCAGAAAAATTCATTAATTCAACCATAACTGTAAAACCAAGAAGTAATCTTCTAGTAAAACCCCAAGAGTTAAAGTGTAGTGAAGGTGAGTGAAATAAAAGTAAGACTAACAATGGCATCAGTAAAAGAAGATGATTTTGTAGAAAAACTCAAAGGAGTTGAAACTTTTCCATTGTGGAAATTTCAGATTAAAATAATATTTCAATCCAGTGAATTGATGAGTATTGTTGATGGTTCTGAGAAACTTGAAGATATGGGCGATGGAAAGAAGAAGGCTGATTGGATTAAAAGAGATGCCAAGGCTCAGAAGTGTATAGTTAGTTCTATTGAGAAGGGACCGATGTTACATATCATTAACTGTGAAAACTCAAGAGAAATGTTTTTGAAGCTGTGTAATATTTATGAAAGAGACTCAGAGCAGCAGAAGTACTCGTTATTACAAGAATTCTTTAACCTCAGGTATGAGCCTAATTCTGATATAAGTTCTCACATAAGTAGAATTGAAAACATAGCACACAGACTAAAAACTTTAAAACAAGATATTGATGACAAAATGATAATATCAAAAATTCTTGTCAGTCTGCCAGATAGATTTAAGTATTTTGTAACTGCCTGGGAATCAATGCCCAATGAAGAAAAGACATTGGCAAATCTAACAGCGAGACTGTTAGCAGAAGAGTCAAGAAGTGAGTTAAAGGAGGTAAGCCTAGAGAAAAATCTTGCGTTCCAAGTTGTTTGTCACAACTGTAAAATTCCAGGCCATAAAGCAAAATACTGCAAGAAACCTACACACAATTGGGCTAACTCTGATAATGAAAGGCGGTGTTTTAAATGCAATGCTGTTGGTCATTTAGCAAACACCTGTGGAAATGTAAAAAATTTTGTTAACAAGTTTGAAAAAAGAAATGTAAAGCCAAATTTATTTTGTAATATATGTAAAAAGTCAAATCATAATGAAAAAGATTGTTACTTTAGAAAAAGCCAGAACCTAAATGTCGCTAGTAAAACTGTGTCTTTTTTGTCGTATGATGATGGACAAAATGTTCGGGGTAATAGTGGGACTGTAAACTTTGTATCTGAATGGGTTGTTGATTCAGGCACATCTTCACATATAACAAATTGTGAAGATTTGTTAAGTAATAAACAAAATATTTCTTCTGAAATATATGTTGCTAAGAAAAATCAAACCATGTTAGCTTCAACGAGTGGAACTGTAAAATCCAAAGAATGTATCCTGAATAATGTGCTATATGTTCCTGATCTCAGTGAAAACTTGTTGTCTGTTTCTGCAATAACTAATAATGGTGGTGAGGTTACTTTCTCTGAAAATACAACAGAGAATGACCAGAAAGGAGACAAAAATGAAAATGACAAGAAAGAAGACAAAAATGAAAATGACCAGAAAGAAGACGAAAATGAAAATGAATATATTGAGAGTGCAGATAATCTAAGTCTGATAAGTAATAATGAAGTAGAGTTTGAGTTGGTTTCAGACAAAAATGAAATTAATGAAGAACAGCCAAGTTCAAGTAATACTGATTCTACACAAAACATCAAACTAAGAAGAAAAACTAAACTACCTGAAAGATATAAAGATTTTGTGATGTTGACATATGAAGAAGCAATCAAAGGACCAGATAAAAAGAATTGGCTACAAGCAATTGAGGATGAGAAAAACTCCCTAATTGAGAATGAAACGTGGGAAGTGGTTGACAAGAAGCAAGCACTAAACAAGAAGATCCTAAGTAACAAGTGGGTATTAACAAGAAAGGATAACGGAAAATACAAAGCGAGACTAGTTGTAAGAGGTTTTGCCCAAGAACAAGGTATAGACTATGATGAAACCTACAGCCCAGTTGTAAGTAATTCAACTTTACGTTTGTTATTTTCATTAGCTGCCAAACAAAATCTCAAACTAATGCAATTTGATGTTAAAACTGCTTTTCTCTATGGAAATTTAGATGAAGAAATTTATATGTGTGTACCTGAAGGGTTTGATCATAAAGATAAAGTTTTAAAATTAAGAAAGACTTTATATGGACTTAAACAAGCTCCATTTAAATGGAACCAGTTGTTTACAAACTGCTTACTAAAATATGGCTTAAAACAAACTCAGTCTGACCGTTGTGTTTTTACAAATGGCAGTATTCATCTTGCTATATTTGTTGATGATGGAATTCTTGCTGGTTCAGATGAAAGAGAGATGAAGAAACTTTTGAACGAGCTGTCTAGAGATTTTAAAATAAAAACAGACGAAAACCCATCAAACTTTCTTGGAATGGAAATTTTATATTCAAGGGAAGGGATATTGTTAACACAAAAGAACTATTCAAACAGTATTCTCGAAAAATATGGAATGATAGATTGTAAACCTGTAGACACTCCCATTTGTCCAGTGAAAACGAGCAAACCTGATGAAGAAGTAAGCTGCCTGACAAAAGATTATCCTTACAGAGAAGTTGTAGGAAGTTTGCTGTACTTATCCAATAAAACCAGACCTGATCTTACACTTGCTGTGGGATTAGAAAGTAGATGTGTTGAGAATCCAATCAATGAAGATGTTGTAAATGTCAAACGAACCTTAAGATATATTAAAGGTACTCAAGACGCAGGAATATTATTTTCAGCATCAGGAGAAAATTGCCTAAATGTATATTGTGACGCAGACTATGCAAATTGCAAGCATACAAGAAGAAGTACTACTGGATTTGTCATAATGTATGGAGAAGACCCAATAAGCTGGTGTACAAGAAGACAACCGATTGTAGCTTTGTCCAGCACTGAAGCAGAATACATTGCAGCGGCGGAATGTGTCAAAGAAGTGTTATATTTAAAAACTTTCTTGCAAGAGTTGAGTGGAACTAATGTTGAAACAAACCTAAACATGGACAATCAAAGTGCTATTAAGCTTTGTAAAAATGGAATTTTTAACAAGCGAAGCAAACACATTGATGTTCGCTACCATTTTTTGACTGAAAATGTAAGGCAAGGTAAAATAAACATTTCTTTTGTTTCTACATCTGAGAATGTTGCGGATATGTTTACAAAACCCTTGAACAATGTTAAGTTTCATCAATTTAGCAAAGCTTTGATCAACTATCCAAAATCTTGAACAGAAGACGATAATCAAGATATTTATTTTTTGTTTCTTACATAAAATTAAAATTAAGGGAAGGTGTTGAATGTAATTTTATTTTTATATAATATGTTTGCTGTTACTTGTTCTGTATTTAATTTAATTTATGTTGGTAACAGCTGATCATGTGTAAATAGTTAGGATTGTTTTTATTGTAATGAGAATTGTTGAATAAGTTATGTTTGAGTAAAAAATGTTGTGTGTGTACTTCAGTAAAATAAAAGATAATTATTGTAACAGTAAAACCTTAGGTGTTAGTAATTTACTTTCACTTAAGTCAACAGATACTATGTTGAACACTAAATTATTTGAATTTTAATATTTAATTAACAGATTTTTGCTGTTACTAGGATATTACAATCTCATTTACACACAGAAAATTTCAAGTTACAAGTATATCATGATAAATTAAAATCACAAAATGGACTCTAAATACACACAGGGTAAGTTAGCTCGCCTTTTCTGTTAAACGTAGAACGAGATTTACATGTGGTTTACAAGTCTCTCAAGTGTAATGAAAATTTTGGTAGAGATGATTTAGATATATCTCTCTCTGCATTTTTAGGTTTTAGAGCTGCAACATGTTGATATACAATAACTGATATCCAATATACAGTACTTGTTATACTATTACTGACCTTACATACAAACACAACCGGTATAAATAACACAATCGGCTGAAATTGATGTTTTTATTTTAAAATTTTAAATACAATAAACATTAATACAAGGTTTTAAAAAAAATATCACTATTAAGACCTGCTCAAACTGCCCCGTTTTGCGGTATGGGTATTTATACCGCCTTGATAGATACACTGGTAGCTGTATGGTAGGTTGCCCACACTGGGGCGGTACGCTGTTCTGGCTGTAACTATTTAAAGATTTGTTGTAAGAATTTACATATAGTATTGAGAATATGCCTACCGCTGAAATACCTCGCAGAAAAATTAGATCATGCAGCTTTTTGGCGTTACGAGGGTAAGTTGCGCCAGTGTAGGCGCTCCCATTAGCTCATAAAATACCTGGCGGTTTACCTGTACCACATAACTTAGCAGTTTAGCCTTTATAAAGAAAACCAGCAACTTTCTTTGTTTATTTAGGGTTATAAGTTTGGATAATTATTATGGTTTACTTGTACTACCAATAAATAAGTTAGTTAATTTTTTTTATTCAGGAATTGTACAATTTGTCTAGCTAATTATGAAAACTTTGTTTGCCCAAATACATTTACGTATTATTCTGAGCTGTGTAAAGTAAAGTGTCATTATATCTTGTTATTTAGTACACGTAAATCAAGAAGACACGTTAGAGACATATTGGGGAATGCATGATTCCCATCCAAGAACTGCATGTGGGTAACTAACTGCAAATCACAAACAAAAAAAAAAACTGTTGAACTATGATGCAGTAAAAGATGAATAAATATAGTACAATAGATCTAACCTCTCGTATCCCCTGTATGATGGCAACTAAATATCTGATCCTGTTTGTTACCTATAAACCTCTCTCCCCTCTCTTCAAGGTTTTTACCAAAATAACCACCAAAAGTAGAAAAAAATTACCCCTCTCAAATCTATCATGGGTTTTGAGTTATAAAGTGTTTGTTTCTCAAGTTTCCCTGCTGATGTTACAGGCCCGGGACCCAATGCCTACAAACTGCCGCCCCAGGTGGGGTACGAGGGGCACGATGTCTCCAAGTGGCGTAACCCCGCGTTCTCCATGGGACTCAAGACTAGAACAAAGGGCAAGGATGTTGGCCCTGGCCCTGCTTACACCGTGGACAAGATGACAAGGTAATACATCATGCCTAAGATACAGTTCAATCTAAGCAACATGCATTCCAAACAGGGAAACTTAAGTAAATGGGCCCGGGCCCAGGGTTGCAAGAGGTTATAGGTTTGTTGGGGGCGCAAAGAAGAGGAAAATTCCTCACGAGGAAGGGGAAGGGCCCCACATCATCATCTCTTCGGCCCATAATGTGTTACATGCAAACTGAAGGCCTGATTCCAAATGAATAAGGGCGATAACATGTAGAACTAACTGTGGTGGGTGTCTGTATATTGTCGATTAGAGTAGAGACCCAGAGGGAAATAGGGAAGTTAAATAAATAGGTGAAATAAGTGGTACTATTTAACAACATAATGCACTTTAAATCCTGTCAAAACAACTATGTTCAAACAATTCAGTGCACCTTTTACGCTTTAAGCCTTTTAAGCGCTTTTACATCCAATGTTCAACCCTTCTTAATTCCTACTGAAGCTTAAAATTGTTTATAAATTTGCCTCTGTAGTACTCTTATGATTTTTGTTGTATCTCGCCTTATATGCTAGTTCTATGGTACTTTGTGGATTGTTTTGAGCTATTAATTTTTAACGGTTACAGTTTGGTCTACAGTTTTCCAAAATGGTTTGATATTTTTATTTAATTGTTTACAGGTTTGGCACTGCATACAGTCCTTCTGCTCCTTTTGGTCAGCGAACTGGGATGACAGGTAAAATCTTTCTTCTTACAAATAAATACCAGAGTGAGGATAGTTTTAGTGGATACCTTAATTTAGTTAATAATTTTTGTGACTGTCCCAACAATAAAAATTAATGATCCAGGCTAACTACTTAACTGCGTATGATTGAATTCAGTTAACTTGTAGATTATAGAATCAAAGTTTCTTTTCAAGATCAGCAAAACTCAACAGACTACTCTTTAAAAGGCAAACACAAATCTTCCTAGATTTTGATAGGTGTTAGACCATTTGATACCTTTCAATGATTGTGACCAAATAATTAATTGGTAAAATTGCTACAGATAAGAGTGATGGACCTGGACCTGGGGCATACAACCCAGATATCAGGAACGTTGGAAAAGTGAACCGAGTGGGAGGAACGTTCGGAATGAGACCAGATGATGTGGCGAAGTCCAGTGGTCCTGGACCAAACGCTTACAATGTGAAGGACCCGACACTCAAACGTCAACCTACATTTGCCATGTGAGAACCTATATTTCCTTAAATTTTTTTTCCAACTTTAAAGTTTTTATTTGTGTGTCTCAGATTTTATGTCAAATCTGAACTTGCTTCATTTTATATTTTAGGAAATAATCTAGTGGCATCTTAAACGTGAATGGGGGGATGCAAATCCTGGTGATTACTATTTTCAACGGCATTAATATATTTGCAGCTAGTTTAGCTAGTAGCAATTTGTAAATTATTTTTTAAATCTACTCATCAGGATTTGTTTTATTTTATCCTAACTAAAATAATAAAAGTAGACATTCTATTCTCACAAATCAGAAACCAGTTTTATAATCTCCTTCTTTATCCAAAATTCAATTATACAACACTGTTTACAAATCCCAATATTCGTCCTAAATCCTCCCTTATGGGCTAATTCTTATTTCAGGGGTACGAGGAATGACATAGTGCAGAAGCACGTGGGACCGGGTCCTAATGCTTACAACCCGAAGAGGCAGGACAATGTGAGGTCTGTCAAGTTCGGTCCTCCTCCAAGGTCTGTGGCAGCCAGAGATGCAGGTCCAGGGCCGGGGGCGTACCAGGGCGAGAAGTACCTCAAGTTCAACAAGAAGGCCAACCCTCCTAAGTTTGCGTTTGGAGTGAAGACGACAACCATGCCTTACATCAGCCCAGAGGACAATGCAGACTGTCAACTGATTTGTAGGAAATAAACATCTCACATTACAGATTAATCCATTTTTTTTTCTTGTTACTCGATAAATGACCTTTGACAAAGTCGCATAAAGTGTAGTTGGTTACATTGATAAAATGCTGGCATACACCGTTATAGAATTTTCTTAGGTTTTGTAGTTATTAAAACTTAAAAAGAGTTTTCAGAGTCAGACACTTTTGACTAACGTGCTCTGAGATTGATGTTTTTTTAGAACAATCTGTTTTAATGCATCCCAAATAAAGAATTTATTGCTACCGAGGATTTAATAAACCTTTGATATCTACTGAGTGAAGGCTTAAAAAACGTATGCAAAATTATTAAGGCCAAAAAGAAAAATCTTTGCCAGGCATCAGCCCAGGGCAAGATTTTTCTTGTAACTTCTGTATCTTTAATTTTATTTACAATACCTATTATTCAGGAGGAAAGTGAGTTTTATTTGGCAGCCATGAGGGGAGTGGGGGGGGGGGCCAAGTAGTGCACAGCTTTATCAGTTATAGACAGTTTCTGGTCTTGGCTAGACCTTTTGTTCTTTTACTGGTGGTTTTTAGTGAAAAGACTATTATGAAATAAACTTAATATCATAAAGTTGTCTCAATATCCATTCATAATTATGGGGGTAATTCAAAACTGTGATTATTGTTTATTCTTGACATAAAATTTGTGTCACCTCCTCTACTCGCCTTGGACAATTAGAAAGATCTTATAAGATTCCTCAGTTTTTCATTTCACGTTCCACACACAGTGACAGTAATACACAGTTAAAAGAGTGTGTTATCTTGATTTGAGGATAAATTGTTGAGAAAGGGGTTCCAGGACCCCTCCAGCCTCCACAAATGAGGTTTGAAGTTTTCAACCAATGTAAAGAAAAGACATAATGAATAAATCTTTACTTGAATTATTTTATTAAATTAATATGTCATAAGTAACATTATACCTGTGAAAAGATGAAGTACCGTACTGTAATGAGAGTAAGAATGAATGAAAAGAACTTTTATTACCTTTAGAAAGGTTTTTAATAACTTGAACAATACTACATTGAATTATAATGGACTTGTTTACAAACACAACAAAACAATAATAAAGAATTTAAGACACATGTTTTTTACTACATTCTTCCTCCCTAATGTTAATGAACGTAGTCATTTAAATAATTAGGAGGTCTTCTGCTTCTGAAACTTCTTCTCGGATATGTGTTATGGTTCTCTCCTCTAGAAGCTTCTTGTCTAGGTTGTAAATTCTCGGCAGTATTATTCATTTCATCTTCTTGGTTCTGTTTCTGTGTTGATGATGGACTAGGAAAGTATTCAGGTTCAGGTTGAGAAGTGGGTAATAGAATATTTTCATCACTCTCAAAATCGGTTTGCTCTATGTCGGTTTGGTACTCACCAACCGGAGCAAGATGACGTGTAGACACGGTAGTTTCTCTTCCGTCAGGCAACTTAACATGAGCATACTCGGCATTCCCGTGAAGAAGTTGGACCTCTTCAACAAGTGGCTCATACTTGGACGTACGATTGAATCTCTTCAAGTAGACAGGGCCGGAATTGAGAAGCCATGAAGGAGCTGAAACACCATTGTTCCCAGATCTACGTGGATGTAAGAACATACGCTCGTGAGGAGTTTGATTTGTGGCTGTGCAAAGTAATGATCTCACTGAGCTGAGGGCATCCTCTAAAACTGTCTCCCATTGGTTTATTTCTAAGTTAAGTGATTTCAACGCCAGTTCAATTGTTTTCCATAGAATGCCGTTATACCTTTCAACTTGCCCATTACCTGCTGGATTGTACGCAGTGGTTCTACTAGTTGAGATTCCAAGTGAGTTCAAGTAGCTTTTTAAGTCTTGGCTCAGAAATGATGTTCCTCTGTCCGAATGTATGTAACTAGGAACCCCAAAAGTAGAAAATAATGTTTTTAGTTTCGACTTAACTGTTGACGATGACATGTCTGAACAAGGGAAAGCGAAAGGGAACCGTGAAAACTCGTCTACTATTACTAATAAGTAACGGTTTCGACTTGATGAAGGCAGCGGGCCTTTGAAATCGATATTCAGCCGTTCAAATGCAGAAGTGGCTTTAATCAAAATCCCTTTGTGTTTGAAGAATCTAGGCTTCACAGCAGCACACACATTGCAGGAGTTTGTTATTCGTCTGATTTCATCAATCGAGTAGGGCAAGTTTTTACTCCGAACCCAGTGGTACAAACGTGTCACACCTGGATGACATAGATTCGCATGTAAATCAATCAACAGTTTTTCTTGATTTTGGATTGAAGAACATACTCTAGTCAGGGCATCTGCAGCCATATTATCTTTACCGGGTCTATATACAATATCATACTGAAAGCACGACAATTCCAGTTTCCACCTCATTATCTTTTCATTTTTCACTTTGCCATGACGGTTGTTATCGAACATAAAAGAAACCGACCTCTGGTCAGTAATCAGCTTGAAATGTTTACCAACCAAATAGTGACGCCATTTCCGCAGTGCTTCCACAATAGCTTGTGCTTCTTTTTCGACACTTGAATGTCTTTGTTCTGCTGGAGAAAGTATCCTTGAGAAGAATGCGACTGGACGGTTCGATTGAGTCAAAGTAGCAGCAATGGTACTCTCAGATGCATCAGTTTCTACAATGAACTGTGTGCTTCAGAGTCAATGCAGCTTACTACAGATCCGATGATTTCACTTTTTATAGTTTCGAAAGACTGGAGCCCTGCTTTGGACAAAGGGAATGTAGTACGCGCAAGTGGAATCACTTTGGTAGCATAATCTGGTATAAGTGATGCATAATGTGAAAACATACCAAGGGACGGCCTCCTCAGTGATGCGGTGTCTCTGGGTGGAGGTAAATTTTTCAAAGGATCTAGGCGACTGGGGTCAGGCTTGATAGTTTTGTTTGATATATGATAGCCCAACAAGTTGATCGATCGCAGTAAAAATGAAGACTTCTCATTATTAATAGTTAGGTTGTATTTGGATGCAGCTTCGATGAACTTTTTTAAGTTTATATCGTGTTGTTCTTGTGTTTTTCCACAGATTGTGACATCATCAAGATAGGCGTAAGTGTCTTGTAACTGTTCTGTTCGGATGACTTGGTCAATTACACGTTGGAATGCTGCCACCCCATTAGTGACCCCAAACGGGATACGCTTAAACTGGTAGAGTTGACCACAGGCCTCAAAAGCTGTGTAGTGCTTTTCTTCATTTCTTATCTTTACTTGGTGGTACGCACTTTTCAAGTCGATAGTACCGGTACTGAAAAACTCATAATTTGCAACTTTGTTAACGATATCATCGATTCTAGGTAGTGGGTAAGCGTCCAGTAATCTAAAACGATTTATAGTCCTGGAGTATAGTCAATGACCATTCTTTTTCTATGATTTTCAGTAGTAACTACTAATGCTTGAGCCCTCCATGGAGACATACTAGACTCTATAACATCGTCTTTAAGCAATTTACTTACTTCGTTTTCAATAAACTTTAAATCATCGGTGCTATGGCGATGATACTTGATTGCGATTGGCTTACATTCCGGTTTTAAATTAGAAAACAAAGATACCGGTTCTACAGTTGAGGCTGCCACGCTACATACGGTTAGTTGTGACTTGTTGCCACCAAAGACTACTTTACTAGTAGTCAACTTGGTCATATAGTCAACTTAGTAATACCGTACTTGCATGGTTTTTCAAAATATCATGTCCAACAATTATATCTGCACAAAAGATCTGGTAACAGTGAAAGATTAACTTGCTAGTAAAAGTGATCAAGAATGACAAGATTTACTTTGCATTGACCTGTTATGTCGGATGTGATTGATGTAGTAGCCATTGAGGGGTGTAGGCTTTCTGCCCATACGATAATCCTATTAGTGACGCTCGGCTGACCTGTCAGCGCTACCCGTCCCTGCGTTGGGGTTGAAGATGAATAAGCGTAGGACAGTGGAGGGGGTGAGACGCCAATGTAGGGGAAGTTAGTGCGAGGTGGAGAGAGTGAAAGTGATGTAGGGTGAAGAGAAGGAAAGAGGTAAAAATTCAGCCATAAGGAACCAACTGATCAACAACTCACCCCATTACATTGTGATCCAATGGTGTTTATAATTTTTTATGTGTTCAGTGGCGTCATTCGCCTATTAGGCGGCCTGTAGATTGGAGTGTTCAATCTAAATCAATAACCACTTGCCTCCATTTATGTAGGTAAATAGTACCTAATATCCACTGTAAAAGGAAAAAGAACTGTCGCGGAGGACCTTTGCGGTGATATTTATTTACCGTATTATGAGTTAACAGTATATTGTGTAAATAGCCTAAATGTATCAATAGTGTTTTTATACCTCTCAGTACTTACATTCTGTGCTTTAAGTAAACTGTTGATTGTTTATGAACAAATTACGGTCAAATTTGAAAAAGAAGTATTTTATTTATACTAAACTATTAGTATTTCACCTAAATAAAACACTTTATTACCTTCCCTGTAGCAGCAAACCTAAGTACTCGTAAACTAATGTTATTTAAATAGGAAATAAATATGACACATTCTTAAGTAGATATTGTAGTGAAAATTCAATCTTGCAAATCTAAATTTGCTTAGTTCGGTTTGCTGCGGTGGGGCTATTTATAAATTGTATAGTTGCTGTTTATGGAAAAATCGCTTTTCTATAAAAATATGGTAGATTGTAGCCTTTAACTTTAATGGACAATTTATATAACGTAACGTTCAAATCAAATACAGTATAAATGTCGAGGTATGAAAAAAACAAACAGTATTATACTTAAATAGAAGAACCATATTTATTTGTTCAACAAAAATAATAATAGATATATTTATAGTTGGAGGATACAATATCTGCCAAAAAAATTTTTTTAAATAAAGTAAATACTTACAATATATACAAATCGAGTAGAAAAATACACGTATAATATATATAATTGGAGCATACATTTATATTTATAAGACATTTTTATCAACTCGTCAGCAGTTAAAATAAGGAACAAAACACAAATAAACCCGCACTTAACAGAAAA